GGCTCTTACAGCTTCTGTGAGCGCCCCCCTGCAGTGCGAGGTGATGCTGGAGTGCTATGAGGAGCCGCTGGAGGACTGGTACTTCCAACACCAAAAGCGGCTGCTGAGGAAGTTCCTCTGCGAGGGCCATGTGCTGGGGGCCAGGGACGTGGGTAAAGAACCCCCTGCCCTGCCGGACCCGCAGCCCCTGCCTGCCCTAGTGCTGGTGCTGGCTATGCCCCAGGCTCAGCTGCATTGTGGGGGCTTGCCCCCGGCCTTCCTGCCTGTAGTCTGCTTGGACAAGGTCTGGACCAGGAGCAAAGGGGACCATGGGAACCAGGAGGAGGAGGAGGAAGACACAGATGCCCCCTGCAGCATGACCCCAGCGAGCTCTGAGCAAGTGGGAGGAGGTTGTGCACAATTGGGGGGAAGGGGGGGCTGCCTGCCCCCGCCCAGGTGCAGCACCAGCCCCTCCCCACGTGGAGGGAGCGAGTGGCACCACATTAAAGCCCATGTGTTTTAACCCCTTCGTGGCTGTGTTAGGGGTGTCCAGGGTTGGGGGCATCGGGGCATTTCCAGGCCACACCCTAGCGGCGAGAGACAGCTCAGACCTCTTCTCCCAAATCCCCTCCCTCTTCCTTTAAGGAAAACGCAGGTCAGCCCCGCGAAACCCTCCTGGGCAGCTTTTTATCCCTCGCCGCCGCCCGTTCATTGGCTGCTTCCAAAATGGCGGCCCCCACTACCTGAAGACCGCCATTTCCAAGATGGCAGCACCCAGTGCGGGGTATAGAGGAGGCGCGCCTATGTCACTTCCGAGGAGGATGAGTGCCCCCCACTCCGGACCGTACCTCTGGTGTGCGGGCTCCGCTGCTGGGCGAGACCATCGTGGCGGTAATTGTAGGGGGGGAGGGACAGACCATTAAAGGAACCCGCTAAGGGATGGAGGACCCCCGGGGTATTGCGTGAAACCATTCAGTGACGGGCGGGGGGGGGTAAACGGAGTGAGACCATTGAAGCGGGGGAGCGGGGCAAGACTGTTCAGGGACACCCTAGGGGCGGTCCGGACCATGTAGGGGGCTGCTTTGGGCGCCGGCAAGCTCACCCCTGCCCCCCCCCACCCATGGCACTCTTTGATCTCCAACCTAAGCAAGCTACATGACCCTTGAACTCTAACCTCCTGTGCTGTTACAGTCGCATACAGACACCTACGACCCTGTCACCTTGGACCTCCAGGGGCCACGTCCCTTGACCCCTTCTACTCAAGCCTACTGGACGACAGCCCAGCTGTGACCTCTGCAGGCCCTGCCCCCATGAATCCACCTCGGGATCCTCTCTGATCTGCTGAGCCGTGAACCCCGACCTCCAGCTTCTGGAGGGGTCTCATCCATCTGCAGCCTTTGACCTCTGGGGCCTGCACCCTTGACTCCCCCACATCTCCACCCTCCTTCCGTGACCCACAGCCCCCCATGACCGACCCCGGGGCTGCACCCACAGTGCGCACGGCGCTGCTGGGCACACGGCGGATCATGGGCAGCCCCTACACGGTGGTGGTGCTGCAGGAGGGCTACCACCAGCCCACGCCAGATGGTGGTGCGCGGGCTGATGGGACGGTGACGCTGCTGCGGGGACCGCTCCCCATGTTGGTGGACACAGGGGGCCCATGGGGTCGCGAGCGGCTCCTGGCAGCGCTGGTGGGTGAGGGTCTGGCACCAGCCGACATCAAGCACGTGGTCTGCACCCATGGCCACTCAGACCATGCTGGCAACCTCAACCTCTTCCCTGCGGCCGAGCTGCTCGTGGGCTTCGACCGCAGCGCACCAGGCACCGACCAGTACCTGCCTGTGGGGCTGGTGGAGGGGCGGCCGCATGCCCTGGACCCTGGGCATGTGGAAGTGGTGGCCACACCGGGCCACGTGGCCGCCCACACCAGTGTGGTGGTGCGGGGCACAATGCTGGGCACTGTGGTGGTGGCTGGGGACCTGTTCGAGCGGCATGGGGATGAGGATGCCTGGCAAGGGCTGAGCGAGGACCCAGTGCGGCAGGAGCACAGCCGCCAGTGGGTGCTC